TAGGGTTCAGAGTATAGGGTTTAGGGTTTAGGGTTTTAAGGTTTAGGGTTTAGGGCTTGGGGGCTTGGGGTTTAGGGTGCAGTACCCTTGGGCTTTGGGGGGGCAACCTTATTGAGGGGAACCTCTATGGCCATGTGGGGATTATAGTAAGGGGACAACTCGGGATGCTCCCCCTTATACTAAGATTCCTTACTCGGGATGAGCACTGTTCGGGGGAAAATCCCAAGGTACAACCTTAGAGGTACGAGCCCTTGGTTTCTCAGCGCCGTGCTGCAGCGCCTGCCCCAAGCTCGAGGACCTTCCCGGAGACTGGAGACTCCAGAATTTAGTGAGGTTGTTCTGAGAGGAAATCAGGTTTAATGTTTAAGTTTAGGGTTTAGGATTTAGGGTTTAGGGTTTAGGGTTTAGGGTTTTGGGTTACGCAGTATTTGAGGGGGGGGGGGTTGTTCTAAATCCTAAGGGCCCACGTACCTATATGGTATATACTTGGGCCCTAAAGATACTATGTGGAACCACTTTAACGCCCAAGTATATACTGTATAGGTACGTGGACAGTTCGGGATACGTCGTTTGCAGGGACGGACCAGTCGGGGTCTATGCTGTCCACTTCATACTACCCTATACTCTATACCATAAACCCTAAACCCTAAGCCCTGACCAAAAACCCTAAACTCTAAACCCTAGACCCTAAACCATAAACCCCAAACCCTACATCCATCGCCTATCGGAAAAATCTTCCTGGAGGACCGATGTACACTTCTGCAAGACTGGACCAGACTTCCCACAATATTGCCCTAAGGGTCCGTGTACCTCAACAGGGAATTTAGGGTTTAGGGTTTAGGGGTTCAGGGTTTAGGGGAATACTTGATCCTTAAAGTACCTTCTAAATGGGGACTTTGGGGGATCAAGTATACAATAATGAGGTACATGGACACTTAACGTTGGGCAATCAACCCTCGGCCAGAGACCCCCTAAACCCTCGGAAGGCTTTCCGCCCCACCTAGAAAAGCTCTGACAATCCTTGGTTTCTCTTCCAGGCCTGTCGTTCAACCGTCTTCAAACATGCCGAAGGAAGATCCTCTTCAACCCGGCAAGGGAAAATGCGAAACATGCCTTCAGACTTTAAACCCTTTAACGCCTCAACCCTGAACCCTAAATCCCCAACCCGAGTTTTGTGGCCGGGCAGGCAGCCTATCCGGCTCAAGGGGCTTGGGGCTTACATATTTATAGGTTTGGGGGCTGGGGATTTGTGAAACTTCGGGAACAGAGTCGTCTTGGGTAGATGGGCGGGCGGCCATAACAGTTTAAGGGTTTTAGGGGGTTCAGGGCCAGGGGATCAGGGGTTTGGCGCTTCAATTTCCGCAGGCTCGCCTCCTTGTCCAGAAACAGATCTGCCTGCGCCAAGAGCGACTGTAGCCTTTGGGAGCTGTAAACCTAAACCCTAAACCCTAAACCCTAAACCCGAAACCCGAAACATGACCAAACCATTCTGCTGAACTGGCATGCGGACGTCAGAGATTCCCAACGGACCCCTTTGTCTCCCAAGCTCGAATCGGCGCATCGCCCACCCCACATCCAAGGGTCTAGGGTTTAGGGTTTAGGGTTTAGGGTTTAGGGTTTAGGGTTCCCTTGGTTTGCCATGCAGAACATCAAGGACCGAGGACGTAGTCCTGAAAACTTTGCGTCTCTCGGAGCACAGAGGCTGGAGTGCGGGGTTGGCGTCTTGTTTGAAAGATTTGGGGCTCTTGGAAACCTCGGCTTCACCCCTAAACCCTAAACCCTAAACCCTAAACCCTAAACCCTAAACCCTAAACCCTAAACCCTAAACCCTAAACCCTAAACCCTAAACCCTAAAGCCTAAACCCTAAACCCTAAACCCTAAACCCTAAACCCTAAACCCTAAACCCTAGACTGACACGCCGAACCCTGAAAAGCCCTGACGGCCAGACAGCGTTGAAGAGCATCACACATAGGCCTGCCGATGTGCAGTTCGGACCAGGTACTCCTGTGATCTGGGCTTGCGGTTCACTTGGAAGCTCTTTCGACTTAGGGGTTTAGGGTTTAGGGTTGAGGGTTTAGGGTTTCGGGTTTAGGGGTTTAGGCTTTTAGGGTTTCGGGCTAACTCGGAAGCTCTTTTGACTTCGTGAGCCTACTCAGTATGTCCTAGAAACCCTTTAATAACCCATAACCCAACTTATTAACCCTACTTACTAGGTCAAAGGGCTTGCAAGGGTTGGTATTAGGGCTTGGGGCGCTTGGGGCTTATAGCTTCGGGCGTCGAAGTTCCCAACCTTGAGCCGAAAAGGTCAAAACCATCCTAACCCCTCTAAGGGTAGTTACCTGGTCCCTGAGTATGGGCCCTTAGGTGGCCCGAATACACCCTTAGATTGCCTTCTTTACCCTATGAAACCTAACCTTTACATTTTAAGGGACAATGTAACTTCCCCTGGGTGCCTCTAGGTTTTAGGTTCGAAAGTGCGCCCCCCCCCCCCCCCCCGATCCCAGCCCCCCAAGCTCCCACGCCCGAAGCCCGAACCCGCGAATCCCTATGCCGGAAACCCACCAACCCCTAACCCCCAACCCCTAACCCCTAACCCCTAACCCCTAAACCCTAAACCCTAAACCCTAAACCCTAAACCCTAAACCCTAAACCCTAAACCCTAAACCCTAAACCCTAAACCCTCCCCGTGTCCCTGGCTCCGCCAGGAGAAGGCCGCCGGACCACAGGCGAGCTCCCGTCCCTGCATTTGAGGCCGACAGGATTTAGGGTTCAAGGTCAGTTAGGGTTTAGGGTTTAGAGTTTATAGGGTTTAGGGTTTAGGGTTGAGGGTTGAGGGTTTAGGGTTTAGGGTTATAAGGGTTAAGGGTTTAGGGTTGGGGGGGGGGGGGGTCAGAGTTTAGGCTTGAGGCTTGAGGGTCTAGAGTTTAGGGTTTTGGGTCCAGGCCGTAGAGAGGGTAGGGGTAGGTAACGCAATGAAGTCCCATACGCCATCTGAAGCATGAGGTCTTGGAATTAGAAGCTTGGAATTAGAAGCAAACCTTCCATACATCACAAGGGCGGCTGCAAAGACAGCTGAAGCTGAAGGCCCTTGCGAAGGCACGAAGAAGCAACGCCGACACCGACGCCAGGGTTGGGGTTTAGGGTTTAGGGTTTTGGGGTTAAGGGTTTAGGGCTTAGGCTTAAGGCTTACTTAAGGTTGAGAGTTAGGGGTGGAGGAAGTAAGGTGGTTTTGGGGATTTAGGAGATTAGGGTTCGGGGGGGCGGGCTTAAGGTTTGGGCTCACGGCTGTTTAGGGGCTTAGAGGTTTAGGGTGTTAGGGTTTAGGGTTGGTTCAGGGTCCATCGAAAGCGGGCGTCTCGCAAATGGAAAGGCTCGGGGTGAGATCGACAGGGTTGCACCTACACCCTAAACCCTAAACCCTGCACCGAAAAACATGCATGGACGAGGCAGGACTGGGGTTCCTGGTGTGAAACCACAACCCTCATTCCAAACCTTGAGCGACGCTGAACCATCATGAAAAAATCTCAGAGCTTGTAACTTGAAAAGGGCACCAGCACGGGCCAAGGATTTAGGGGCCGAATTACTTAGGGGTTTGAGTTTTGGGGTTCAAGTTTTGGGGTTCAATAGGCCGTTTCCTCCAGGAAAGGCTGGCATGCTCAAGCGGAGCTACGGCGAGCGCTGCGAGCCGGCTGCTCTACATGTCCGGAAAGCCACCGCTGGCGTAGCGCCGCCCCGCTGTACAAAGACACACGCCCACGGGGAATCGGGATTAAGGGTACATGTCGAGGTTTTTACACTTATACATCATACAGGGGTCGCTTGGAGGATCGGGGGCACGTAGTAAGCGAGGCTATAACATCAATTGGGCTTATAAGACATTGTAAATATGGTTGCCTTACTTAAAACCCCCACTTACCAAGTCCCCTGATCCTTTAAGCAGGGTTTGCTGTAATTAAAACTTGCCCAGACAGCCTGTACAAAACAAGCCGCTTGCCTCCCAGCGATATACTTCGCTTGGGGGGGGGCTGGTCCTGGCTGGGCCCTCTGGCAATGTAACAAGCCCCTGTGAAGTTGGGTTAGGGCTAGAATGTAGGCTCTTCGACTTAGAGCCATGTAGGGTTTAGGGTTTAGGGTTCATGGCCCTTTAAACCCTCTGCAAAGTACAAAGTATTCCGTAAGGGAAGCATCAATCACCCCGAGAAACTGCCAAGCGCAAAGGCCCTACGTGGCATTCTTATTGGGAACACCTACGGTTTCAGCTTCCAGGGTTCCCTTCGACACGACTAGCAGACGACTATAGATATCAAGTGTATGATATATGTTGTAATGAAAAATTGCGAATAAAAAAGCAAACAAAGAAATAAAAACAAATACACTTATTTATTTATTTACATCTATGCACCCCGGTGCACCTATTATCTTTTTCCGTGTTACTAAGGTCGTGCCATCACACACACACAAACTTCCCAAGATGAACGCGGCCATGAAGCCATAGATAAACCCTAAACCCTAAACCCTAAACCCTAACCCTAAACCCTAAACCCTAAACCCTAAACCCTAAACCCACCCGAGCTTGACCCTGAACCCTAACTAAACTCCATAACCCTAAACCCACCTGTCTTCATTGCCTTCATGTGAGCTTTTCAGAGTTTTGCAGGGATCCCAACAAAGGGCCCATACTAAGGGCCCCATAGGGTTTAGGGTTTAGGGTTTAGGGTTTAGGGTTTAGGGTTTAGGGTTTAGGGTTTAGGGTTAGGGCTTAGGGCTTATAGGTATTGGTTCCGAAACCCCATATCTCCAAAGCCCTAGACCCCACCTTGACAGGGGCGTATCTGATCAGGCCTCTCTCCCACAGTCCGAGCTCACACGGAGCTGCGGCAGGCCCGAAAAATTGGGTTCTGTGCAGGGCGGTGCTTCATTTAGGGTTTAGGGTTTAGGGTTTAGGGTTTAGGGTTTAGGGTTTAGGGTTTAGGAGACTCGCAACCGACCCCTGCACCAATTAAGGGAAAATGGCTCGTGTTAAGCAGAGCTCCCCCCCACATTGCCGGCAGTTTGCAGCCGAGCTCGTGCAGAACGGACTGTCTCTCTCCGTGTTGCAAACCTTGGTAGCCCAAGCATCCATAATATAAAAAAAAGGTCCGCTTTTGTGGGTTGGGTACTTAAAAATAGAACCTCGAACCAAAAAAAAAACACGTGCAAAAGGGTACCAAGAAACCTTCTGCGAGTCCGCACAGTCTGGATAGCAGCACTCCGCCCCGCCCGCAGGTGTGCTGGTAGATCCGGGGCCTTGCAACGGCGCAAGAGCTTGAAAGAAATCCTGCTACTTGCGGCAGCATGTAGGATGGAGTGTTTGGGGAATGTGATTTGCGAACCCGAAACCCTATATCCCCTACAAACCCTGGAAGACCCTAGAAACTCTAGAAACTGAACCCTAAACTCTGACAGACCCTAAACTCTAAACCCTACATCCCTCTCACTCTGGGGCCCGTTCGTGTGGTGGTGCCCGCTGCGCTTGTCGATGGGACTGTCGTCGGCACTGCTGTCGTCGGCACGGCTGTCGTCGGCACGGTGGGAGAGGCAGTCGTCTGACTTCCCTGGCCTGGGTTGCTGCTGAGCTCAAAACTAAGTCACTATAAAAATGAGTGTCTACATCTAGACGAAAAAAGAGTTTCCCTGACTGTGGACATCTGGATATATATATATATATATATTTATATTTATTTATTTATATGTATATAGATAAGAATAGCCATATTTCTAGTAGTAATAATAATGCTACATATATGAACAATGCGTTATCCATCGTTATCCTGATTACGCAAACCCAATTTCAGTTCCTCAACAGCAGCCCCGGCGCCTGAACAGAGTTCCCCGCCGCATTGCCGGCAGTTGGCAGGCGAACTCGTGCAGAAAGGGCTCTCACCTGGGTTTGGCACGTGAGACCTAGGGTTTCGGGTTTAGGGTTTAGGGTTTAGGGTTTAGGGTTTAGGGTTTAGGGTTTAGGGTTTTCGCAACCAAGCCGAGGGCATGCCCAGCTGCTCTCCGTGTTGCAGACCTTCTGCGCGTCGGCGCAGTCCGGATAGCAGCACTCCGCGCCACCAGCTGGCGCACTGCTCGAAGGCCGACCTCGGGATGCCAAAAGCAAGGGTTTAGGGTTTAGGGTTTAGGGTTTAGGGTTTAGGGTTTAGGGTTTAGGGTTTAGGGTTTAGGGTTTAGGGTTTAGGGTTTAGGGTTTAGGGTTTAGGGTTTAGGGTTTAGGGCTAGACCCAGGAGTAACCTCGGCATAAAAAGGGGACCCGTTTTGGTTTTAGGGGATTACAAGGAAATCCCAAACCTAAAAAAAGGAAAGAAGGGCCTACTCCGGGTCCTAGTAGATATGTGTACATAGGGGTCATCCTCTTGAAAGATGTGCTTAATGGATGTGATTCTACACATCTATGGACCCCATGCATACTATATCGACACACATCCACTTCCTCCTTTAAGGGTTGAGGGTTTAGGGTTTAGGGTTTAGGGTTTAGGGTTTAGGGAAGGTTCCATGAAAACACCTGTCTTGGAAACTCGAACCACCGACACGTTTGGCTTGCAAGTTCACATGTTCCAGTGGTAAGGCGAGAGCAACTGAAGAATCCGGCCTACTGGGTTGCTGCTAAGCTTCAGCTAAGTTACCCATACATTTCCTGATTATCATGACAGCAAGTAGCTTGCTTCACGGTAGCCCCGCTCTAACATTCCAAGTCAAGCACTTGTGCGCACACTTGTGGTAGTTGCCAAATGCGTTCATGTGTTAGCGGCCGCTCTTGGGATTTCAGGGGTTCAGGGTTAAGGGTTTGCAGTTCGGCTATGCAAGCGCGAAGACAAGTCGGGGTGTCAAATTAGTTGAACTAAATTCTAAAGAAGACAGGTTCGGTGTATTGACTGCACGTTGACCCCCCGACGCTTCGAGCAGTTTAGGGCTTAGGTCTTGAGGATTGAGGGTTCAGACCACCTTAGGGCTTAGGGTTGTGGGGGCTCCTAACCCTGAACGCCTGTTGTGGCAGCAGTGGTGGTCTCGCTGGAAGCAGTCGTGGCAGCAGCACTGGTCTCGCTGGCAGCAGTAGTGGTCTCACTTGAAGTCTGCCTCTGGCCCATTCAGTTCGAGAAAGGGGGTCCCCAAGTTAGGGGCCTGAATCCGGATCCAAACCCAAAACCCTAAACCCTAAAAGAAAAGACTGAGCCATGCCAATTTCGGGCGTGGGGCTTAGGGTTTTAGGATTTAGGGTTTAGGGTTTAGGGGCTCTGATTTTGCGGCTCAGGGTCGAAATGGGCCAGGACTCCCAGAAGGCGGAATTCGGGGCCGGGGGCACAAGGGTCTGGTCCGGCTTGGGACCCTAAACCCTGAACCCTAAACCCTGAACCCTAAACCCTAAACACCCTAAACCCTAGTACTCCTAGGGTAGTTACCTGGGAAAGCCTTGGGTGGACTTCGGGCTCTTTACGTGAATGGACCCGGGGGTAAGCTAAGTGCTTATGAGTTTGCTTTGTTTGGTTCTTCTTGCAAGCCCTAAACCCTAAACCCTAAACCCTAAACCCTAAACCGTAAACCCTAAACCCTAAACCCTAAACCCTGTCATGCAAGTCCCTATCCCTCCGATACGGGAATCCCAAGCCCGAAGCCCGAAAAAAAAAACGCATCGCTAAGGGCAACTCCATGGTCCCTGAATCTGGTGCCTTACCTTCTTCAAAAGGGTTTAGGGTTTAGGGTTTAGGGTTTAGGGTTTAGGGTTTAGGGTTTAGGGTTTAGGGTTTAGGGCTTAGGGTGTTTGAAGTATGGGCCCTGGGTTTGTTGGGTATGCAAGGGGTATATCCCCGACCCTGAACCCCAAAACCCGAAACCCTGAACCCTCAACCTGAACCCTGAACCCGAAACCCCGAACCCTGAACCCTGCCCTAAGCCCGAAACCCGAAACCCTGAACCCTAAACCCTAGCCCTAAACCCTAGCCCTAAACCCTAAACCCTAAACCCTAAACCCAAAACCCCAAACAGGGAAGGATGGATATCGATCTTGGGCTTCCGGCCTCGTGGGGCTGGGGGTGGCCAAATCTTGCTCACATCGGGGGCCCGAGCCCCCGCACTTCCTGGGCTACGTGTCTTCGGTTTTAAAAGGCTGGGTTGCCCTAAACCCTAAACCCTAAACCCTCAACCCTCAAACCTAAACCCTCGTCACCCTGAGCCTCGTTTGGCTCCTTCCGGTTTCTAGGGACCCTAAGCCTCAAAAAAAGGAAATGCTGCGCCGGGCCAACAGTTCGACCCACCGGCATCTAGAAGTCAGGGTTTAGGGTTTAGGGTTAGGGTTTAGGGTTTAGGGTTTAGGGTTTAGGGTTTAGGGTTTAGGGTTTAGGGTTTAGGGTTTAGGGTTTAGGGTTTAGGGTTTAGGGTTTAGGGTTTAGGGTTTAGGGTTTACGGTTTAGGGTTTACGGTTTAGGGTTTAGGGTTTAGGGTTTAGGGTTTCCTGTGCCCCGCCCTCTTCCCCATAGACTCCTGACACAAGTGAGCCTGGGGGAAACTTTCGGCCCGGGGGTGTATGAACCCTAAACCCTAAACCCTAAACCCTAAATCCTAAACCCTATTTCCTAAACCCTAAACCCTAAACCCTAAAGTGTAAGGGCACAACTGGGGACATCCTGGGAGCTTGCTGGGCTTCAAGGGGTTAAGGAAGTCTAAGGTGTAGGGTTACAGGGTGCAGGGTACAGGGTACAGGGTTTAGGGTTCGCCCCAAAACCCCTAAAAAGCCTAACAGAAACACTAGAACACCCCTAAAAACCCTAAGACCACTAAAACCCCGAAAACCCTAGGCCCAACATTCTTGCTCTGGTTCTCGGGCGGCACTCAAGACTGCTCGAAAGCAGGACGTCATGCTATATGAGGTAGAGTTTGTATTTCTCGTAACCCCAAAAATCAGGGGTAGGTTTGAACATGGTTTGTTGTATTACCCTTAGTCCCGTGTATAATCCTTATGAAGCTATAAAAATCGACTGTTATAGGGCCCCCAAACCTACCATTGAAAAGGACACCGAATCTACGCACTCACCAATATTAACAAGGAACCCCAAGTACACTCACCTTTAAATAACAGTAAGATGCGCCCTGCTTCATACAGTACCCCTACACCCGACAAGTACGCACCACCCGCCCCCCCCCCCTGGCTCCTTTATTCCAATGCGATTCAGGGTTCAGGTTCTAGAGGGCTTCGGGTTCTCAATTCTGCAACATGGACCAGTGCGGTTTAGGGTTTAGGGTTTAGGGTTTGGGGTTTAGGGCTTGGGTTTTGGGTTTAGGGTTTAGGGTTTCATAGCGCATCCGAGCATCTGCGGAAAGAAGCGGCGCACATCGGGAGTGAGAACTGGAAGCAACCTCTCCGCGAACTTCCTCCCGCCCGCAACGGTCGGATGGATTCTGTCCACGTAGTCGGTGATGCAATTCAGCCAGGGGGCCTGCACCATCAGCCCCACATCCTACTTGGAGGTTCATGGTACCTACTAGCCAAATAGTCATTGCACTTGCAACCCAATTGTAACCAGATTGGGGTAATTAAGGGGCTCAGAAGAGGGTTCGCTTTCATAAACCCCCCCCCCCCCCCCGGATTTGTTCCGGCGCTGGGGCCAAA